TATATATATATATATATATATATATAAACAAGTTTCTTCCAAGTTGCTCTCCAACCACTCGTTCATGGAAGGTTAATGGAAGTTCACGATTCTTCCGCTTCCTTCTAGAAAAATGAAATCGTTCCTCAGCTGTGGAGTGGTTCCAGTCCAGCCCGAGCACCTGAGGAAAAAACATCTCCTCCCTGTGTTCCAGGAAGAGCTTTTCTAGGTGAAAGAACTGAAAAAGACTTGGCACAGAGCACTTTTTTTCCTGGAATAAGAACACAGGCAGATGTAGCAGTTTGTCAGGACACACTGCGCTCTCTTCCCCAAACACAACTCTGGGCTCCTTTGCAAACTGCCTCGGCCATGTGGTTTTCTCTAGGAGAAATTAAGGAATTGCTCATGGCAGTTTGGAGTTTATGTTATCACAAATGAAAGAAAGTAAATAAGAAATATTCCCAGAAAGAGCCTTTGGGACCTTCTTGGCTGAGTTGGGAAGGGGACATTGATTCCCTGCAGTGCAAATACACAACCACCTCCAACACAAAGCAAAGATGTCAAGGGGGGTCTCACAGCACCACTCTGACAAACCTCGTTGTCATTCTTTTTTTCAGCGACTTTTGCAATCGAACTCTGAAGCTGACAAACCACAACTTTTCCCAGCGCTCCATCCAGCCACGCTGGAACAAAACAATATTCCCAGCCAAATCGACAATGGACAGCTGGCAGGGGTCTCCTCTTCAGAAGCTCCTGGCTCGATCTGGAACTACAACGACAGATTACACATAGCAGAAGAAACTCCATTGGATTTTTTGATAGAAGTGGCATCCACCTGTTTGCAACCACAGTGGAAATGGTAACCGTGTAATTCCTACAACACCTCTCAGCATCCAAGCTTTAGCTCTAGGCTGTCCATGAGAGGAGCCAGATCTCTCTAATGGAAAGGATTTCTCACTGATTGCGTATGAAATGGCTGAAGGTGGAATCTAGCGAAAAAAGGAATTCACAAGAAAGCTCTAGGGCAAACCAGTTCTCACCTTTGTCAAGTCCCATTAAAACCTGTAAATGTTTGCCTGTCTTGCGTGTACATTCGCAAGTGAAGAGAAATCCAAACACTAGAGATAATCATTATCAGGAGCAGAAAGAAACCAAGTTACCTGTCTTCATTAAGACACACAAGGTTGGTGCGGCAGATACAAAGAAACAAAGTATTTATTGTAAAGGCTCTTCTATGAATCACTCAAATCACTCGGCATCATACAACGGATATGGTGGCTACAGAGTAGAGGGAGTCTCTCTCCCCTTCCCCCTATTCTTTATACACATATTTGCTCACTCTCACAAACCCACAGTTGTATTTTTTAAATGGAGTTCCTCTCTTCAGTGAGTGTGGAAAAGATGTGTTTATAATACAGGATCTGGCAAACAGATACATCCTATTAAACAACAGAGCAGTTACAGAAAGGAGACTGCTTTCTTTAGGAAAAAAGAGCCTTCTTTCCCTCCTTATCTTTTTGCACTGCCATAAAAGAGCTCTCCACACAAAACCAGACCAACAACCCTGATTAGCTAATGCCTGATTAGCATTTTGGCAAAATTAGGAGCCCTAGGATATGCACCAATATTGATTTACACACTAACATTTTCACTTGGCTTCCACATGATAAGTTCTAAACAACGTAATGTAAAAAACCTGCCAGCCAAGACAATGTCAGCTACCAACCCTGCTACGTGGAACAGCCGAATCAACAGTGAAAATGCTCTGACAGTGCCTCAAAGTTATTTGCAAAATTTTTGGTTCTGTCCTTGCCCCCACTTCCCGGGCTACACACGGACACTGTTTCTCCCAGGTGCTCTGGGTGTGTGCACACACACACACAGAACGCACACACTCACGTGGGCTCTGCTGTTTCCAAGAGTACTTTGCACGTTATCTTGTGCTGTGTCTGACTGGTGCTTCAGTGGCACTCTGCTCCATTTTTTAACTTCCTTTCCCACTATTGTATTCTCTTTATTCCACAACTGAACATTTGCTTCCCCTTCAGTCTCTAAGAAACATTTGATCTGATTCCTGCATCATGGCCAGTAAGCCAGAAGACTAAAAAGAACCTGTTTCTAACCTGCCACATCAACACTTCTGCTCCAAGATACATTTCCTTCCTACTGGTACTCCAGAACTCTGTTGAACCCTTTCCTAGTTTGATGCTATATTTTTCAACAATCTATATTATCATCTATACATTAACTACTTCGATGCACAGAATGTTTTTCTGCGGTATGCATAGATTTGTACTGTACTGTGGCAACAGAAGACCCTGAAATATCTTGTCGTCTTTTATACACACAAAAAGATGACCATCCTGAACTTTAAATAAATTTCTCATTCACGGTCTGCCATAATTAGCTGCCTGTTCAGGGCCACCACCTTTCATTTTCAATGCTCAAGCAACACGTGGTCTAGTCGCTTCCAGTATTGCTCCATTATTTCTCTTCAAATAAAATTTCTTTTTGTTTTGTAAACAAGCAAGCTCTTAGCTGCACCTATGGAACAAAGGACAAAATTTTTCTCTGTCTGTCTTGAGTAAAAGACCCGAACAGCTCCTGAACACAGGAAAACGGCATCAAAATCTCAAACTCCTGTTTAACCAAAGGAAAGACACCTGACAGCTATTCCTAAGACTTACTGGTAGTGACCAGTCTTTTTTATAGACAGTGGGATATAAGAATTTAGATTCTGGACTGCTATCTCCAGTGCCATCTCCAGTGGCTGATTCATGCACACACCCATTTCAGTATAACCCTGCTGCTTGACACAGCTTCAGCAGTTGTGCAGTTGTGGCACCAACACTGGCACCAACACCACATTAGTTTCGTTAATTTGCTCTTAAAGAGACTTGGAACCAGATCCATCCAATTAATTCTACAGAGGCTCTAAAACCAGGCTGGACTCCAGTATGTTGTCAGCTGTGGCAAATGACTGGTATCGCTCTCAAATATCTGCCACTTCAGCGGAAGGCTCTCAAACCCCAGATTTCCCTGGCAGATATTCTGCAGGCATCTATCTCAGTCCTTCTCATATCCCTGCGTATCTTTCTCTGCATTTCTTATTCCTGCAGACTGAGCACAGCCCCTGAATGTAGCTGCTCTGTTTGCCACATACAGACAAGAGTTTTGTACACTGAGCAGCATGCACACAATGGACACAGCAGCATAACAAATATGGAAGCACAGTAGCAGATGACCCCACTGTTTTCCCCTTGTAATGCTTGCTTCTAGTCCAATTAGCAGAGTCCTAAATTAAGTAACATTTCAAGTCAATCACTGCGGCAGCATCACAGCCCCTCAGTATAACCAGTTCAAGACTGCAGGATTTCACATTTTACTGTGAAAAAAGGTTTTAACACAAAAGGGAAAAATTTCAAAAAGCCATTCCCAGTAAAAGGCCTCAGACAACGAGGTACTGCCATACTTTTTCTCACACCAACAGGTTTTGTGTGAGAGTACTGCCATCACGTAAATTCAATCAAAAGTAAATTTTCCAAGACATCTCTCAACACAAGGGATGGACTAAAAGCCACGGCACTACTAATGTGAAATCAAAGATATTAAATAAAGCGGTAAAGAGAAGACTATCTCTTCTGTGACTGAAGAGAAGAAACTTTTAAGTTAAACTAAGACAGAAATTGGCAAAGACAGCAGAAAACACAATACTAGAGAAAAAATGCATTTATTCAGAAGAGCTGCCTTCCTTCCATACCACATGTGAATTTGATTCTCTTTCCACGGAAGTGAAAGAAAGGAGGTGAAAAGGAGTAACCTAGAAGAGGATTTTGAGTGCCACATCAAACAGACAGAGTTATACTTTGGCAGCTGCTTTTTGGACTAGAAATCATGTTGGGCCTTTAATTACAACTCATCTGTGCACTACAAAAAATAAGGAGGGGAAGGATTTAAGGAAGATGTCCCTGCTTCCATGTAATTGTTCTATAAATTCCCATTGTCTGAATTTGTCGTACATTTACAAAGAAGACGATTTACAAGGGATATGTTCTCTGTGCTATTTAAGGTTGATAGTGCTTTTTAACTCAACAGCATCCAAAATAACCAGCATGTATCACGTATGGGAGAGCTAAATAATTCATAGTAAGAGGCAGTTCACCTATGATCAAAATGTGGGACCAATCCAGGGACTCCGATAACATCCTGAACTAAAGAAAAAACTACCATGTGACATGAAGTTAAGCTTCTACACCAAGAATTAGGAAGTTCTTTTCAGTGATGAACCCTACAGGCACACAGAGAAACATTTAAATAATCTGGTATTTTACATATATACTTACTGTTAATATCTGCTGTGTTAAAGGCAGGCATCAGCAAAGCACCATTACATTATTTTAATTTTCTCAGAATGCCTCATTTGTTGCTAATACCATGGATATTAAGGATGCATAAGAAGCTCTGATCCCAGGGATTGTTCTCTTTCAGAACAGATCATATCCATCTAGTGATATGTGATTCAATCTACCTTTCACTGCTGGGACAAGGGCAAGAGAAGTTATTTGCATCTGCAGAAGAGATGGCCTGACTATATGTCTTTCTTTCAGACGGGCTCTGCATTCCAGGATGCGAATGCTCCTAGTTTGCTCTTTCAGATGGTGAGATAGCTTCTTGCATTGGTCTGGCTGAAATAAAAACTCCATTCAGGAATAAGAAGCATTCCACAGCTCTAAGAAAGACTATCTTGTCTAATTCCAGATAAGCTACTCTTTGAGACTCTTGGGTACCATAGGGTAAGAGCTGCATTTATTTCTCTACATCTGTAGTCTCCCAGAACACCTATCTCAACCTCCCCCTTGGTGCCACCCACGACTCTAAGCACAGCCCGTTAGGATTTGCCGTGTAGTGTCTAACTTCCCACTAGAACGTAACAATGTGTGTTGATGAGTGAACCTTTAGTCTTCTTTCACACTGACACTTGTATGGTGCTGTCTCTGGCATGGAATGGTTTGAGACATCCGTCCTGGGCAAGATTTTCAAAGGTCACTCTAAAGCTGGTGTTCTGACTGGTGTGTTGACGGCATGTTCTCATCCGGTCAGGAAGCAGGTCCATGTGTAACAGTGAGCTAAGTAACACTGAGAAGTCCACTGGTTTGGTGGTCGTGATGCCAATGGAATCTTGTGAGCAGTACTTATGTGTTACGCACTCCCAAAGATTGTTCCAATTCCTGTCGGCGCTGCTGGATCTGAAGGAAAAAGACACACTGTACAGTTTAGCAGATTAAATTGCTCAGCAGCATGAAATGCATTTATAAGTCAGCAGTGTGGATATTTCCTTTATACCTTGCAGTAGAAATATCTGCTCACAGCTTCTTGAGACCACGGCTCGTGATAAAATTCAGCTCTGCGTTCTTCCTCTGGGTTTCCAACCACATCAGTCATCACCTGGGACAAAAATAAAACCATTTTCCATCACAGCTCTTCTACCACATAGAGAAACTTTCAGATTTACCCAGAGTGAAAATTTATCGACATTACACATAAAAATGGTCAGAACTGTTCTCAAAGCCCAAAGCAAATGGACAATGTGTGCTTACTGCCAAAACAGGACCATAGAAAGATCAAATGGTTTGTGTTGGAAGGGACATTTAAGTTAATCTCATTCCATCCCCTGCCATGGGCAGGTGCACCTCCAGGTCAGGTGTCCAAGATCAAGTGCTCCAAGCCCTGTCCAAGCTGCCTCCAGGAACAGGGCAGCAGGGGGTTGGAACCATTCTACAAAAAAATGGAATTCTGATGACTATGTCTGCAGCATCACAGAATCACAGGTAAATATCTTTATTGGTATATTTTGAAAAGCAGTGTTGTGGAATCACAACTCTGATGCCAGCAGGGCAGAACATTAATAGAAAAAGCTCTTATGGGACTAGTTGTCAGTCAGAGAAAACTGAACAACTATTCCATGTACATAGCTAGACAAGTTCCTCAAGTCAAAGTATGCTTTATTTAAACATACTTCCAGATGCCTGTCCCCTTTGAATACAATATATATAATAATAACCATAATCTTAACAGTAGATTTTTTAAAGACTATTCACTAACAATATGCATTTATATAAGAAACACACAATAATTTTATTAAAATAATTTCATGGATTCAATGATACAATTGATTTTGAGGCATGTCAGTTAAAGGCAGAAAATGTGAAACTTTATGAGGAACAAATTATTAATTTTTGCTGCCAAACAACTGAACTTCTTTACATTCCATTTCTTGCATATCTCAATGAAGAGCTCAAGGGCAGCCAATAAGATTAAATTATGAACCAACACCTAAATTGTGTTCTCGTACTACAGGATGCTCCTGCTGAGTTTTACACAGCTTTGAATTTACAGAATACGCCAACAAAGCCCTGCATTTTGAACTTACTGTCCAGCCACCAATTGACCTACTGCTCCCATGAAACACCACTGTTCCACTGGAACCAGAATACAGCCTAAACTCTCTTTCCTGCATACTATCTGCTCTGGGATTGCAGCAGTCCACTCGTCTGTCTGCCACCAACCATCCATCCTACCTGTTTGGCTAAACACTCTATGTACATTTAGATAAAATTCTTCCATTCTGGTTCCACTATTCATTCTTTTTCAAACCTTAGCTCACCTTAAGATCCCTACTTTGGGACCGGAGAAGGTCTTGGATGTATCCTTTGGGATCCTTGGAGAAACTCAGCATAAAATCACGTTGTATTTTTAGCTGATTTATGGACTCAATTGTCTCATGAATCTGACAGAAAAGAAACAAAGCAGATATTCTTTAATTTCTCCCATGCTCCAGTGACCATCAGGTCAGCTCTGTTACTATCTTTGTACTCTTAGTAATGTACAAAGGTGACAATTCTACACTACAAACTTGTGCAGCCCTTCCTAAGGTTTTTTCAATTAAAAAAGCAGCAACTTAACTGCAATGCTGCCACTACATTCTGGTTTCACTTGTACTTCTGCAATACAAATATGTACAGGATTCTCCTTCATTTCCTGCACTGAACTTCTGCTTGGCATGCATAAGTAAGCCAGGTCACTGTAAAATGTAATAATTTCCTGTGTGGAATCACTCTGCCTGCCAAGAGCGGAATCTTTCAGGAAAGATACTACATAAGTATGCAGTTAAGCAGTGCCCAGTACAAGAAATACAAGTTATTCTCCTGGTTACCATCATGATCATTACATCTTCAATATCCTACTGTAATTCTTAAAAACTCTAGCAGTTTCCTGATCAAGTCCATGTCAAATGAATAGCCATGACTTCTAGACTTTTTCTTAAGAGAAAGTCCATAAAAGTCACAACGGCTGCAAAAAGAAGAGCGTGAACAACAAGAAATCATGAGTATGGAAGGTTTCTAGAAAATGAATCATATCTTCAGAAACATTATGGCAGAAATATTAACTAGCAGGGAAGAATGAAGACTGGAGAGGAGTCAGGGTCCTATAATGGATAATATCGTCAAGTATGAACAGGAGGCAGACAGTTCATTTGCACACAGACATACACAAAAGCAAACTTTTGCTACCCTGCTCCTCTAACATTCTAGTTTGAAATAGTAAACCTATCTTGTTTGGTTTCATGTATTCATCTCTTTTGCCCAAACAGCTAAGGTGACCAAGCACGCGGGAGAAAATAATCCTCCCTTGATCTGGTTAAGCCATCAAGGCCACTACTGTAGGTACTATATGGTACGTTAAGAGAAGAGACCTGCTGTCAAAGTAATTCCTTCTTTGGGAAAATGGTATGGCTGTGCAGAGTGGACTCTATTGGCGTATGCTGAATTCCCAGGTGGGGACCCCATGGCAGCACAGCAATGCAGTGCACAGAGGGTAACAGGAGCAGCCCATGCTCACTCACCCAGCAGTGACTTCAGTAACTTCACCGATAACAGCTTGCTCTGTACTGTAGCAAATATTCAAACAAGAGGTGACACAGACATGGGAAAAGGTGAGTGGAACTGGGAACAGAATAACCCTATGCATGCTGCTTGCCAGTTTGTATAGGCTGGGAACCAACTGACTGAGCAGCTGCCCTGCTGAAAAGGACTGTTCTCAAGAGCCACGACAGCAAAGATACTGCAACAGTTTCCAGAATCCATTGCATTGCTGGTGCCCAGAACCCCTTTAAAATCACATGAAGACCAGAGATGAACATATTTGTGTGTATTAGCAACAAACAAAGAGAACCTGGACCTTGCTCTGAGAAGGCATTTTTGTTTATCCCTTATTGACCCAAATCAGCCATTGACACATGCCAGAACTGGCTATCAGCCTCTAGGACATGAACCTCTAAAACAGCCTGCAAAACCCACCACTGCCTTAAGACACATATTATTATTTGAAGTGCACATGATCCTCTTCCACTAACACTTAAAACTGCCAAAATACTCCAAGTGATTTTCCTGCCATGCATGCTCCATATTTCCACCTAACACAGAGAGCCATTCTGCAGTTATGAATACAAAATCCACGCCCGAGTATGAGATTCTCCTAGCTTTGGCTTAGTAATTTAGCAAGATATCATGATCTTTGCATAAAAAGCTAGTCATACAGTTCAGGTGGTTCTCAAGTGTCAGGGGACTCAGTACACTACCTGTGAAACTTTATCACCTCAACAACCATGTCAGGCCTTGGATCAAATCCTAAGTGGGAATGCCATTCACCCTGATGTACTTCCACTGCATTTGGCTGATTCATCTCTTGAAAGCACAGGCCTTTAACAAGTCCTATCTCACAACATTACTGTCTTTGATGCATGACACCAAACCCATGTGAAGCTACACAGTGAGTACATGTACCATGGGATACTTTACTCTTGGGCTTATACCTTGTTATCCAATGCTGTTATCTCCTGTTGGTTAGCTGTTGAGAGAAGAAAACTACTCATCTGGCCCTTTAATGGGTCTTCAACTTCTACATCTATGTCATAACAGGCGGTCTTCTTCTGATCGTTGGGGTCAACACTATGAAGAATATAACACAAGATCATGAGAACTGCCATAACGAATCAGTATGAATTTTCATCTAGCCCAGAATTCACTCTTCAATAAAGCCTGTTGCAGATGCTGTGAAAAAAGATTAAGAAGAGGGTATCTTTATAAATTTTCATATTCTGGTATATTCTCTCATCTTTTGTCAGTCAGACTTCACAGACTTTTGAGCTGGAGCTTTTGCCCAGACCATGAAATTTAATTTCTAACATGCTCCTTAGACCTGTTACGCTAAATACCAGTATCATCCTTTGGCTTGTCCTGCCCTAAATTTATATTTAATTTGCCAACGTTCTGACTTAACATTTATTTTATTGTTAGACTAAACTTTCTTAGCAAGAAAATAGCCTTAAGTGCAGCAGTTGGTAGATCAGACTTGTCACTATCACTTGCAATATAAAAATGCTGGCTTCTCAACCCTACATGTGAAATGGTGTGTACCTGCAGTGGGTAGTAAAAAAATTTGATCAAAATCTAATTGAGCTTGACAGACTTGGATGGGTGGAAGAACTTCCAGGGATGGATTTGTATTAGGAGTGCTATAAGCAGGTAGAGGAAGGTGATTCTACTCTATTCTCAAGACCGATGAGGACACACCTGGAGTACTGTGTTCAGTGCTGGGCTTCCCAGTGCAAGAGATATATGGAGCTACTGGAGAAAATTTTGCAAAGGTCCACAGAGATGATTAAGGCATTAGAACACCTCACAGCTGAGGAAAGGCTGAGACGTCTGGGACTATTCAGCCTAGAAACCAGAAAGCTGGTGGGGAGGGAACTTACCAAAACTTGAAGGGAGGGTTTAAAGAAGATAGAGCCAGTATCTTTTCAGTGGTACCCAGTGACAGGACAAGAGGCAGTTGGTGCATACTGAAACATGGGAGGCTCCATCTGAACACCAGGAAACACATTTTTACTGTAAGGGTGACCAAGCAACAGCACAAGTTGCAGTAAGACCTTCAAAGCCCATCGGCCGTTCCCCCAGCCCAGAGTCTCCCATGCTGGAGACACTCCAAAGCCATCTGGACACGGCTGTGGCCAACCTGCTACAGGTGGCTCTGCTTGAGCAGAGGGAGTTAATTAGACCAGATGATTTCCAGAGGTCCCTTCCAACCTCAAACATTCTGAGAATCTGTGATGCTGTGGCCGCCTGCAAGAAGATGAGCAGAAGGAACGCTAAAGAAAAAACCCGGTCTGGTTCTGCCGCTCGTGTCGAAAGCCACAGAGAAGGCTCCCCATTGTCTCTGGCTCCATTGCTCCTGGCTGAGTGCTGTCCTCAGCCTCCCACGGTCCTGAGCTCAAGCCAGCCAGGGCAGCAGGGCTGTGCACAGGGATTCTGACAGGCTGCAGAAACAGGACGGCACTGCAGCACAGGAACAGCTCTGCTCCTGGCATGGAATGACACCGTGCAGGGCAGGGCACAGGTGGGCATCGGTGGGGAAGGAAACAGGTTGGCAGGAGAGGACTTGGGGGCCCCGATGGACAAACAACAAGTGCAGAAGGCAGCTGTGGGGGGTAAAGCAGCCACAGCAAAGCCAGCTGCAAAAGGGACTGTATTAGTGCAGGTACCACCATCAAGGCCAGGAAAGAGGCTCTTCCTTGCTGGGCCACGCTGGTGAAACTGGATCTGGACTGGTGGGCACAGGACCACAGAGATGTGACACTCTGGAGCGAGGCCTGCAGAGAGGCTCGGTAGGATGGGGCCTGGAGCACAGACCTGCCGAGAGAAGCTGCAAGAGCTTCTGCAGCCTGGAGAAGAAAAGGGAAAAGGAGATGGCCTGGGAGAGCACGACGGCCACACGGACTGGTGAAGCACAGACAGGGCCAGCCTCCCCTTGGAGGTGCATGAGATTAGGCTGAGAGGCAACAGAAACTCACTGCACCATGGGCAATTCACTCCCTATAAGGAACTGCTTTGCAGAAAAATCATGATGGTAATCAAAAAGGGGGAAGGCAGAGATAACCTGTTTGTACTAGAAGAATGTTGGAGAGCTATGCTTTGCAGTCTGCTTGTGTTCTTTACTAGTCTGGAAGATGTCTTGCTTCTTTGCAGAAATGGAAATCCCACAGGGGTTATTCTTTCCACCTCTGATTTCAGGTGTGTCAGCTGCAATTAGTAGCGCAACTCAAAAAAATCTCCACTTCTAGCTTGAGCTCAGGGTAAGATGTGACTTCTACCAGTTTTAAATTTGATGCATTCAGTATCGTGGGGATCAGAAACCACTACAGAATCTGTATTTTTAATTGCATTCTGCATGTTTGAATCTACCTAGTATTTAAAATATTGGTCAAGATCAGAGACTTTTTGTGCAGCTCTACTTTATGTCCACTTCAACCCCATTGCATTGTTTCTTCCTTTTTTTTTGAAAAGGAAGGTTCAAAAGGAAGGGAGAGCGATTCTACAATGCTACTATGATTTCTAGAACAAGTTCCAAATACTTCAAATTTTCATCTCCGCGTATCGTCTAGAATTAAAATGAATAATTTTGATCTACTTGATCTTCCTGTAAAAGGTAGGCCTGAGGATTTATCTGAATTAAGAGCACATATATTTACAACAACTAGTGTTGAAAAATTCCCTGTAGTAGTGTGCTGGTTTTGGCTGGGACAGAGTTCATTTTCTCCATAGCAGCTGGGATGGGACTGTGTTGTAAATTTGTGCTGGAAATGGTTGGTCACACAGAGATGTTTTTGTTATTGCTGATAGTTGCTTACAGCTTTTCAGCTCCTCACACTGCCCATCACCAAGAAGGCTGGGAGTGCACAAGGAGCTGAGAAGTGACACAGCTGGGACTGCTGACCCCAGATGACTACAGGGATACTCCAAACCATGTGGTGCCATACTGAGCAGTAAACTGGGCCAGGTGTTCACTGCTTAGGGTCTCACTGGGCATCACTCAGTTGGTGGTGAGCAATAGTTTTCATCTGTATCACTTGTAGTGTTGGCTTTTGTTCACCACCATCATTTGTTATACTGTCTTTATCTCAACTCATCAATTCTCTCCCTTTTACCTTTTCAACACTTGCCCCTGCCCTGCTGGAGAGAGAATGAGGGGATGGGGAGTCTGAGCTGAAGAGACTGGATTAAACAAGGACAGGCAGCTGGCATATTGTTTCAGTGGCTGACTACATTCACTCTGAAAAACTGAATGCGGGGTGACAGGGCAGAGCATTTGTGGGACCCTGTTTTAAGCTTGGTTGGACCAGGTCCTTAAGTAGCCTGGATAGACTTTGAACCTGATTTGAGTTTGGGTGGGGAGATCTCAATGACCACCAGCAATCCCTTCTACTGTAAATTATTCTGTGATGAGTCTAAAAATTACTTACTTTCTTTAAATTCAGTGACAGACTTTCAGATTTATTTTAGCTTAGCCCAACACTGTAAAGACTTCACTGCAAAAGTACTGCCTGTTCCCAGGAAATAAATTCTTCCTTTTTCCACACTGTTATATCACTATTGTTCAAGGTTGTCAGGTGCTGTGTGGTGCACCCAGTGTATTACAGAATGCTGCTAGACACAAAGCTGTAGCTTTGTAACACACACCTGTTCTTTAGCTGGCGACTGACAAAAACCACTTCCTCCAGTACCTTTTTGTCACCTTTCTGCCCTTGGAAACATAAACATCAGTTCCTTGTCATTTTTCTCTAAGCAATGACTATCTATCTCTGAGGACCTCAGCTTTTTTGTGGTCCATCAGACAGGTCACTGAGCTGTGCCCAATGACAGTACATACACAGCTCTCAATCTCCACGGCTGCCAAGCTGCTTTTTCATTACTCTGATATACTCAAATGGATCAAAAAGCAAATTTTATTTTCATAGCTTATGTAATATTTAAACTTCGCATTACATATGTTACAATTTAAAATAAAGAGCCTAATTTTAAGCAAATTCAGAAACACTGGGTGTCAATATTCTGTAGGAAATCAAATCTGTAACTTAAGTAACAATAATCTTTAAACACCTAGAACCAGAGTTTTGACCCTGACCACAAAAAAACTTGGAAAGGATTGAAATATATGAACAGTAAAGTTGCAATCCCCAGAAGTCTCTTTATCCCCCTCCTCCATGTACGCAGTTGTCACTTAAATAAGGCACGTGCTGGAAGAGCCCTAGAGAGCTGAAAGTTGTGTTTCATCTGCTATGCCACACAGACATCTGTTTTGACATGGATATGAGAGCTCAGCATCTTGGTCACAGTGACCTCCTCCGAATCCAGGCATTCTTTGTTGTCAGTCTCTAGAGATCTCTTGACTCCTTGGTGTTCTCAGGACAAGACTAACCGTCAAAGAGCTGACCCAATCCCAACAAAGCAGGCATGGAATGGCCCTGCATTTGAAATCTTAATGCTGGTGTACATATTGCATAATATATCAGTGATTAGAATGATTGGCCATGATGTACAATACCTCATTTCAATTTCTTTTTTATCTCTTTTTGTGGGTTCAAACTTTCATTCCTCTCTCCTTAGGAAAAAAGCTCAACCAACTCTCTCAATGGTATTCTAGTAATTAACAAACTTGTTTTTCATACTCCTAGAAAACTGGTGCCGTGATAGTGAAAATAATTCAGAATTATACAAACTACAATAACACACAGAACGAACACACAACAAAGTCCAAGGTATTCACCTGGAAGTTATAAAAACTGGATTCTGGTCCCTACAGGTACTGCAGTTGTTTCTGTACTTTATCTAGTGAGTGTTTTGCACATGACAGTGCTGAGCTGACCGACCAGCTTACCTGATGATGTGGTTTATCACTATCGGGTCTGGTGGCAGCAGTAGGTTAGTGAGTCTCTGAGGAATTTCAGAAAACTTTAGCCGTGGACAGTCAAAGATCTGGAACACAATAAACAAGAAGTGTTGTTTGTCCAAAGCCTATCTTGCAGTTAAATGAGAAAGTAAGAAATCTGCAGATCACATGAAACTGAGACAATCACAGAAGGTGATTTTGAAAGCTATAATTTAGGTTCCTTGCACAGATTACATTTTTGGTCACTTCTGTCCCTGTACTTTCATCTGGGCTTGCAGACATATCCATCAGGTCATGACAATTCCAGGTGTCTCACTTTTGGTTTAGCTGCTGGAGGGAACAGGACACTTAACTGGGACATCAGGATCAACTGTATCAATGATGGGAGAGAAGCAAATACTCTTACTGAGGGATTACAGCAGCATATTGTAAAGAAAATTATGGTATTTTTTTACCAGAGAAAACATAAAAACAGTTTGCCTCTTTTCCCCCAAGGAATGTTTCCTGCAATATTTTGTGCTAAACAAAATACAAGAAAACATTTCTGGATTTTAAAGCCATTTGTAATTTGTGGGTTTTTTAGGATTACAGAAAAATAAAGTCAATGTGATATTATTTATTTTTAACCAAAGCCTGAACAGCCTCTTGGGAGGGATTCACCCCTTTCCAAACAATGATTCATGGTTACCTTCTCTTTACTATGGTCCAGAATCTAAACGGAATCACAGACTCACAGAACATGCTGAGTGGGAAAGGACTCACACGGGTCATTGAGTTCAACTCCTGGCTCTGCACAGGACAAACCCAAAAATCACACAATGCATTTCTACTGATTTCAGGTGGAAAAAAAAAATCTTCTGGAAAGAGTTACAAGCTGTAGAGTTTGGAAATTTTCTGTGAGCAATTGCAGTGCCTTGCCATGAATATAGAAACTGTCTTTACACCTGGAGTTTTCAGAAATATAATTATTACAGCCTTTGTTTCCTACTGAGATTTTTAATGCTCTGAACAGGCAAACAGACTTTTCTCTAAAGATATTCCATTTAAGCTGACCTTAAAAAATTCCAAACCTGAACTTGCTATATATTAATATTTGCCTTAAAATTTTCCCTTATGTGGAGGCAATTTGTAAAATGTTCAGGCCTATGCAAATACCTCTTAGGCAAACTGTTTTCACCTGACAGAAGAGATACAATACTATGAGTAGTGTATCTATAAAGAGAAACAACCTTTGCAGCTCCAGAGACAAAGGATGCAGGCAGGGTTGAAAAGAAAGGACTCTCAGGTTGTAGAACAGACATACAAAGTCAGATGCTCTGGGTCCTCAGACAGGGTATCTTTTGAAATTCAGTTTTCTCAAGTGAGTGAATTTGGCAGCAGAAATACCTGGGAGCCAGCTCTAGGAACCACTTGCAAGGTTCTATTGCTTTTGAAATACCTTTGAACCTTTTTTCTCGATTTTGCTTGTAACACAGTCTGTGTGTTACAATCTCCCTGCTGATGTAAACAATGTTTTTAAAACAGAAAAGGATCCGTCTTCATCAGCTCAAAAATCCATGTTGGACTTGCCTGCATCCAGGAATTCAGCCAGCTAGTTTCTGAAGAACAAGGAAGTAACAAAACCTACTGAGTCTGCAGCTCACTCCTTATTTGAGTTCTGAATTCTGACACTTGATAGTGATGACTGTGGAATTCCCACCCAAAATCTCTCCACACCAAGCTCCATCCCATCTGCTGTCACCTTTCAATGTCAAACTCCCGGCACGGATGCATGCCCGAGTGACAAGAGCTTTAAGAAGGGAAAAGGGATCAAGGACACACATTAGTGAGAGGAAGATAGGAGGCTGGAAACTAAAGGTGGGTGGAATTTTCCTAAAGCTTTTCACATTCCTGCCTAACTGGAGTTAGTGGTCTAAACTAAGTTAGGCTCTGAAAGCCTCTCTGGCTACAGTGATCCTGGTGGGTCAGGTAAGTCATTCAGTGATAATTTTTTAGTCTGTACTGTCTTGTGCCTTCAGACATAACCACAATGCAGCAGTGCAGGATTCAGAAAAGCTGGCATACCAACTGAGAAGACCAGTATGGCAAGGGGAATGGCAGAGGCACTGGTGCATTATGTACTGCTCCCCCAAGTGATACGCACACTTTTCCTTCCAGGAGTTATGTGGCTAAAACTATAGAATCTACAGAAATATTATCAGACTGGAAGGCATTACTAACCCAATTCCTTTGGCCTCCATCTCTCAACCTGAGAGTACTAGGGGGTTTTGACAACACTGGCGAGACTATTAATGATATTAGTTGTAGTGGCTACTGAAAGCCATTTGGTACTGAGGATATCACAAATCACTAGGGGAAAATAAAAAGCAGTCATCTGCATTCATCATCCCAAATTTGTGGCTGGATGTTACAGTTTGCTTCTAAAGAGCTGCTGTGTCCGAAAAAGAGTTACCTGCTGGAAGTACTTGTCACAGTTAATGTATTCCTTATCGTGGGAGTCTTGCAGCTTGTTTGTTTTGATGTACTGCCAGAGTGCCTGGATGATGGCCGAGCGCGTCTGCGTGTGGATCCCCAGCAGACGGGCCAGCCGCGGGTCCAGCTTAAACTGGGGAGGCTGCAACAGAAAGCCCAGCAGGTGGCAATACAGAGGAAAGCGGACACGTACACAAGTATGAAGTTTCAGTTTTCATTCTTGGAGGACTCTGTTCCTCAGGAGAAGCATCCCAGTCAGTGGCAGAGACTACAAATACATGTTTGTATTTTTGTAGCCCACCATCGGTGTTCTGGAAGAGGAACATTGTACCTCCACACGGACTACATGTAGCACATGCTTTAAATAATAAAAACCTGCACAAAGACTCAGGAAAAATTTTCCCTTTCAACAGTGATGCAAAATTTGGCTTTTGAGAATGGGAGAAGAAAAAGAACAGCCCTTCCTCTGAACTACTGGAAGTTAACCACAGAGGGAGAAGGAAGGCAGGATGACACTTCCACAGCTGCTAATAACTGCTGTCTCACATCAACACACTGTCTTGGAATTCTGTTTGTTCAGGCATGTTCTCACCATTCTGGTGCACACCAAAACATTTACCCAATCACAACCAGTCAATGGATTTTATTTCTCTCCCTGATCTCAGTGATACAATTCAACTTTCCCGTTCTCCATCTCTTGTAACATAAATTCCTTGGATAATTTGGAATTTGATGCTTCTTCAAGTGTGTACTCATACTCAGGTGTAGTATTCACCACATTATTAAGCAAGGATTACTCTGATGGGTGGCAGGTCACCCAAAGCTAGCTTTATAATAGACCAAGACCTAAGGAAAACATAACATCTATTTTAAAGCATAAATTTATAATAATGGTGAGCATAAAAAACACATTATATTGTCTTAACAGTAAAAATTCTCGCTGCCTATATCGGTATTTCAGTTAGCCTATATGCTCCCTAAAATTAATAAAATTTTCTCTCTGTTAACATAAAATTGAGTGTCTACATCCTGAATAGATGTTATTTGCCTGGAGCAAAAGAAGGTGGCAGATAAAAAGTTCTTAAAGTTATACCACCAAAATGCATCTGAGCCTGAACTGCCATTGAAAAGGGGGATCCCATCTACTTGCAGCAGTGCATTCTTAACAGTTTCCTTAAAACAGCAACGTTTCTTCCAAGTGTAGTGTCAGTAAGATTAGTGAGCTCCACAACTGCAGTATCCATCGTTTGTGCCAAGGTAAGGCTGGCACAGCTACACAGCTAATTCAGGTACTACTTAGCAAAAGCTACTTCTCTGAATTTTTTTTAGAGAACCACACATGTAACTTGTGTGCAACTTACCTGACCATCCTCTAAGAAGCTAGAAGAGGAAATGCATATTTTTTCTGCAGGTGGGCAATAAAAATACTAATTATCATAATGCCAAGACCAATATTTTGCTAGACTATACTAGAAACTCACTTGATTTGTTCCCTTTAGATTTTAAATAATCATTCTAAGTTCAATGGACAGTGTGACATTGCAAGTACAAGTATATCGGGTTTGGAGGTGTGTGACAAGATGAATTTGTTCTGTTGCACTAGGTCCCAGTGGCTGTAAGGTCCAGGCTAAAAGCAGAGCACTGACCTGGTAGTCCAACATGAGGAGTAATGTGCATCGCACGCTGACATCCCCAGGTCTCTTCACCTGGAAGCCATCTGTTTCCTGGGTCGTAGGAGTTCTGTGCCACTAACAAAGGGAAAAGCAAAGTTATTGGTCTTTTTTTCACCATAGTCCATAGAGGTACATCTTGCGCAGGACACCATGCCAGAATCAGACAAGTACAAGCTTCCTGAAGATCTGGCAATCCAAAAAAGAAACCTGACAACAACAAAACCGAACCACAACACCCCCCCACCTCCACCCCCCCAAGCATTTCAATTCAGCTTTAGTGCAGAATCTGCTCTGCTGTTAACATACTTCACTTGTTAGGAGAAAGGTGAACAATATTTTCATCTTTTCATACATTCTGTTGTAAGATGTGAACTGTATCACTAATATGTCTATGTTTTTAGAGAAGATTCATTTAGCAAACCTTCTTAAGAAGAACAGAATTCTGAAAACTTTGAAAATACCTTAAATTAAATAATGAATGCAAGGTCCCTTAAACAAGGGAGGCAACAGGCACCAGGTGTTTATGTGTACCAGTAACTGGTTTGTGTGCAAAGGGTGCACAGCCTTCTCACCTCCACAAGATGATTGTCAGGTCCATAAAGATCTTTGTCCAGTTCAATAACCAAACTCTTAAAAAAAGATGAAAACTTCCGTTTCTGTTTGCTGAGCTGTACAAGCAGAAGAACCAGACATGTATAAGGCTGCATTTATTAGCTTGTGTCCTAGACTTTCTTCTCAGTCTCTCTGCCTTGAACATTAAATCCCACGTAAACCACAAGTGTGATCAATCTAATGAGTTCTTCCTCTGACAAACACGGGATAAGATGCAAAAATCTCTACAGTAGTGGAACAGTGCACACTTTTAGAGAAGGTTTCCTTGACTCTTAATGTCATTGAAAAGGACTTGCTTGTAAGGTGAACATGGCATGAGAAAGATCCAGAGAACGGCAATGAAAATTATCTCAGGACTGGAGCACCTCTCCTGTGAGGACAGGCTGAAAGAGCCTGGGTTGTTTAGCCCAGAGAAATGCAAGTTCCAGGGAGTATTTAAAGGAGGCTTGTAAGAAACATTGAGGGAGAATTTTTGTATCTGTAGTGACAGGTCAAGGGGCAATGGTTTTAATGAAAGACTGTAGCTTTGGACTGGTCTTACAAAAGACATTTTTTACTCAGAGGGTGGTGAGGCCCTGGCACAGGATGCCCACAGAAGCTGTGGCAGACCTATCCCTGAAAGTGTTCCAGGCCAGGCTGCATGAGGCTTTGAGCAACATGGGCTAATGGAAGGTGTCCCTGTCCAGGGCAGTGGGATGGAATGAGATGGACTTGAAGATCACTTCCAACCCAAACCATTCTATGATCCTAAGTCCTCTGTATACCTTTCTTTTTAACAGCCTGGGTTTTTTTGATGAATGCTAATTTCTTGGTCTGGTTTATCAGACTACAGAAAATTTACAGACTGGTTATACACTAAGAAAAACTATTTCCTTTTAATTTTTTTATTTTCATTTAATTACCACTATTTGTTGTTTACTGCATAGTTCATACTATCTCTACTTAAAAATAGAAGGTCTATGATTAATCTAACTCTCCACAGAATCCAGGCCACAGGATTCCAGTTTATTTCTTTGTATTTAAGGCAGATAATATTTTATTTTAAAAGGCTGGTAATTGAAAAGCCATGTTGTTCCAATAAAGAATTTCTTTCTTTATTGAAATATATGCTCTAATTTCTAAACCGAATTTGTCCAACCTCAATTCCCAGATGTTGCACTTTGTCACCACTTCCTCCTCCAGCAAGACTCTGATTCATGTACAGTTACCTCCAGACAGATTGAAGGCCCTGCCCTCTCCATGCATGCATGTTCCATCTGTTTAGCCTATAAATACCTGCCTGTGAAGTTCATTCAAATAGATGACACCTTTATGGGGAAATTCCAGCCTTCCCCAAGGATGCCACCGAGGTTTCTAAGGACTTAATAAGGGTAAAATGTTTCTTAAATCCTTGCTCTAATCGTTCATACATCGTGTTGTACCCCCTAAGAATATGAAGTACTGTCTTCTCGTTATCCAGCTCTTCACAACATACAATGCCCACTGTAGGCCTGAATTATCACACCTGTTGTAACCTGAACCCTGCCATCATCTCTTTAAAGGGATTAATCTCAGCCCTCTTCTTTCCACTTCCTCCTACCTGCCCTTATGTCTGCCTCATTTTCTGCTGCACTCTCCAACATTCCCATTAGAGTGTTCTCCCTCATTTGGGTAAGCCAACACTGCCATTTAGACATGTTTTGTCTCAGCTGATTCCCCCAGTAAAACCTACCACCCCAAAGGACAATCTTTAGACTCCTGCCAGCCCCAGTGAAGCAGAGATAAGTCATACATCATCCAGGAGCTTCCCCTCCACGCGCAGCTCCCACGAAGCAATGCTGCCATCGGAGTCATCAGCATCTGATTTTGCAGGATTAAACGTGTTGGAGATGTAAAGCCTCAGTTTCCGCTTTTGCTGTTATGCACAAAGGAAAAGTACACATCCAGTTTAAGTTCAAGATCTGAGGAAGCCTCAGGAAAGGTGATAATTGCACATTTAATAGGGAATCTCCATGTTTTGTACAGTTGCACCAATTGCATTAGAATTTAAGATTCTGTTACATGTACGAAAATACATTGAAGAGCTGAATTGGAAAATTCCTTTCAAAAACTCTTGGCTATACAAACATGCTAAAATTCACTGTAAATGAAGGAAAACAGGAGGTTGCCAAGCCTGAGAAATGATACATCCTGTACTTCTGGATTAGATAGTTGAGAAATCATTGTGAGAAAAGCATGATACGATGTCCTTTCTGGCTTCAACCTAGCTAGATTGCTAAAATTCAGCTGCAACTCTATTGCAACATAAACGTCTTTCACAGTTGCATTAGTTCAGATTTGTAAATGGCAGTCACACAGCTCATGCTGCAAACTACTGCTGGGGACATCTCTGCCCACCTGCATTCTACCATCATGCAGCATCTGGTAATAATCCTCCTGCAGACACACCTGAACACGCTGACACACACGCACTGGCTGCCTTACCCTCCTCCTCACCCCAGCTGCCTTCACCCTCAGCAAACATGGAGCAGCTTCCTGGGAGACCTGACTGAAGGAAGGCACTCTGCTTCATCCCTAACCCAGGTGCTCAATTCTGTCAGAGATACCATCATGCCTACACACCGTGACTTTTACAGACCACCTGAAGTTTCCCAGTCACTGTAGTGGCTTATGGCTGTGTCATTTCTCAGCGCCCTTCCTTCCACGCACCATGTGGAAACCCAGCTATTAAGTCTGACGTATGGATCCCAGAAAGGATTATTACCGAATTACTTTGGGACTCTAATCTTCAATATCTCTGTATAACACAATGTCAAAAAGGCTACAGTTGCCAAATTAATGCTGACAAAACAGCGCAAGCAAGGAGCAATCTTGTAAAGCTTTCACACACGCACAGGAGAGAAGAAAGTTACATACAGCAGATTATACAGCATAATCTGGCACAGAGGAATGGGGAAGGCAGAGATATATGGCTGAAGAGGAACAGGAAAATTACTACATTTTGCCAAATCTGGAGAAGACAGTGATAAGAGAGGTCCGAAAGAAACGGAGCATCAACAGTATGCTCTGACAAGGGGACAGGATTTTCTGAAGTCCCATCAGTGCAGAAAATGACAGGTTTACACAGGTAAGAACAGACAAGTGGAAAAATATTCTTGTGAATCCATGCTTTTTCCATCCTTTCCCACAGGGTTTCTGCCAAAGTGCTCTTTCACAATATAATTATTTTAATGACTCCAAATCTCTATTTGGTGTGGTGGACTTGTGAAGGACTTCACATTTCTAAACTCAAAATTCTTCAAATTACTCTGCACATTTTATGCACCGTTCCTAAATTTTACTCATACCTAGATCACTTGCAGAACTGTACCTACATACACAAGCAGGCTTTTACCTAATAGAGATCAAGTGTCACCAGCACCACTGGCTCCTTGTAAGAGCTACCTGGGAATGGTTCTGCTCCCAGACATTCTGGGAGGCTATCACCTCTTCCAGGTCCAGGAACTAGACAGTGGCACCTGAAGTGGTCCTATATACCCTTATCACCAACAGTGGTAATGCATACTTCATGCAGTGGAATTTAAAGAAAATAAATTTAGAAATCCCTAGCAACATTTCCGAATTGTGGCTCTACAGCCAGGAACAGTTGCTTTGGACCCTCAAGCTCCTTCTCTCCTACCATGACTATTCTCCTGGCAGCTGATTCAAGCTACCATCAAGCCTGTGAAGCAAGACCCTTGGCAGAGATCCAGGAGTATAGTTTGAATCCTACCTGAAGGCATCTGTCCAGTGAGTAATAACTATAGCATGCACAGCTATACTGCTATCATAAGGATGTCCAGTCTTGGAAGATGCCAGTTCAGAGACGAGATTTAGTCAAAACTGAGCTCAAGAAAGAAAGACACCAACCAACATGGTGCTGGGTGAGGTTTTAGAGTACAGGCCATAAAGTCTCTTCAGCTGCTGACATACACCAAAAACCACTGCATTTGGTTTGCTCTCAGTACCCCTGAGAGTAGCCCTGAGAACGCCTGTATTCCACAATAATGTCAAGTTTATATCCAGAAGGCTCTCAGAATGACATATTCTTCCATCTCCAGTTGAGCAACTCCACCTCATCCAGGCAGGAAATGATAAAATTTATGAGCATATTGATTGCTTTGCAGCTTAAATAAAGCAGTGGCAAGAAGCCACTTCCCTTCAATAAATTCTGCAAATTTCTTAGCCATGCGCTTTAGCACACAGACCTAAAATCTGTTCTCCTCTCTGTATGGTACATTCTCAGAGAACAGAAGAGCAAGCAACCAAAGGACTCTCAGTAGCTGGGAGCAAAAACTAAAGAGAAGACTTATAGCTCTAGGGCAAAAAGAAAACATCACACTTCATCTCTTCAGACACGCCAGAATGTTACCACCCAAAAAGGCAAAGCTAAGCAGGGGGAACTTCACAGAGACTTGATCAACACAGTGAATCAAATCATCTCTTGTCCAAAAATCAGTAAATGCTTGTTCTCAGAGAGTAAGATACAGATCTTTGACTCAGCTTCAGCAAAAGGAACTTTAAACAGCGGTCATAGTAAAATGAAAAGTCTTCCCCTAAACCCATTGTATTTCACTTACAATTTCTCTTTAAGAAAATGGAAAGGAAAAGAAGTAATCATATGTAACAGATGAGTGGTCATGTCAGCAATGAACTCCTGCAAAGCTCTCAGCACAACTGCTGGGAGAGCCCACGTGAAATCCAACAGACCTGAATGGGAGGCTGACAGGAATGGTGGAGCAGCACACCTACAGCTTGCTCTCTCTCCAAGTTCTCCCATGTCATCTTCACACAAATCAATACAGCTTTAAGTTCAAGTCAATGGCTGAAATGCTGGAGATCTGTCAAATCCTTCAGAAAACTTCCCCTGGTTTACAGTGGGTTTGTTTTTTTTTTTCCCATTAGTATTGAATCCCTAACAAGTCAAATCAGGAAGTACCTGATGATCCCGTGACCTGTGTGCTATCCTCCAGACAAATCTCCATCAACTGCTGAAGTTAGTTTCCTTCAATGAACTCTCAGGCTGCTCATAAAACCTCCAGGACACTTTCAGAGAAGTTGTGCTTGGGATTTCAAACAAACTAACAAAGTTATTAACAGATAGTCTATTGCTGACCGACTCAAGAAAATCTGACTGCCAATCTTACAAGCAGTAATGTGTTAAGAACTCTCTTAGTATATCTTAAGGGTGAAATTCTGTGTACCTCAACATAGCATAAAAACCTCTAGCAGAAACCACAGAAAAGATTAAAATCTGTGTTTCTGCCTTTGCATATGGAGTAACTGTTTCCTAGTCTCACAGCAAAAAAAAAAACAAACAAAAACAAAAAAGCTTTTTAGGAAGCAAAATGAACAGTGGTAGCATGGAAGCTAAAAATCAGGAGACAGAAAAAACAATGACCACTGTCTAATCATTATAAAATACCCAAATTAAACAAAGAGTCCATATCAGAGCTGGAATACGGAGGCATCTCACTCAGAGCAGCAGCAAGATATGCCAACATTTGTAGAGGAAACAAAATTAGTTAGGTAACTCCTGAAAAAAAATGGACACGAACTTAAAAATGGCCAACCCAAAGCAGAAAAACCAGTGACTTGACAGACTACACAAGCATCATAAATAATAAAAGGAACGAGACAACATTTACTGAGTTCAAAATTGCACCGACACATGAAAAATATCTGTAGACAGTTCTATCTAAGCTTAAACAACAACAAACGTCACAAAAAGGTGAAGCAAATGCTACTGAGGAATAAGATGGAAATTAGTACACACAAAATCAGCTGTAGCAGCTTATTTGGTTTTTGTATATTGTACTTTTTCAGGAGAGAATGAGGAGTTGTATAGTGACAGGTAATAAGAAGAAGCCAGGTGCACTGAAAAATTCTTTTTCTACAGTGATTGGGAGGAATTAATTTTTTACCTGAGAAAAGAGAGCATTAAAAAATCTGAAAGACATATTTAAAACATTGACTGATTAAAGAAGGAGACTAGGTGTTCACATTTTCCTTATCTCATAATACAAAAAGCAGAATACATAAAATTACGCCACAAGACAAGTGTTTCAGAAAAAAACCAAATTGCTTTCTGGCAACAATCTGATATCAATTCCTCAGTCATCTTAAAACCTGAAAGTGGGGGGAAAAAAAAATCTCAATTCATGAAACCAGGGAAAGAGACACAACAATGGTATGCTGATGCTACTACTTGTTTTTCACCTACAAATCGAGAACCTGGAAGCAAATAATTTAGTTTTTGAACTATTAGCAAATAGTTTAGTTTTGCAACTACACACATATCTGGTAAACTGCACATCTCACAGCAGTTCACTGTAAAAGAGTGACGGTCCCTGGAGGACAGTCTCTGGTTTGGGTGAGATAAAAGTACTGTCTGTGGTGCCAGCACTTGGAGCAGGAGCCTTGCTGGTGACATGGATCACATCCGTCCTTCAGTCGGGAGACCCTGGTTCAAGCTCTGGGATGAAAATCATCTCAGCCTTAAAATTATGTTGATGGCCACAACGATCTACGTCAGGCTTACACAATGGAGAGAAATTTTTTTAGGGCGTTACTTACCTATATTCTTTTAAACATCCACTTCTGTATGAGAAGAATTGTGCCCTGAACACCACTGCCTACACCAATTTCATCTCTCAATGAAGAGATCCAAGAGTGACTAACTCACATATACATGAATAAAATGGCTATGTCTACATTCACCCAAATAAATCCCACTCCCAAAGTCCAACACGGCCTTAGAGCTGCATAGATTTTCAGTAATTCATTCTTTAATGACATCTACTGGTCTGGAGTTGAGCATACAGTTTCTGTTTCCTTCAGGCCACGGAGCTTGCTGTATCTACCAAACAGCCCTGTCTGCCTGACTACGACCTGAAAGTTCTTTCTGAATTCTGAATTCATGTGGGTATTCCATGAAGTCAGTACAAGGACTCTTGCTAATGCTGCTCTGCAGATAAGGAATTCTGAGACTCTCATGGCAGGGGCAATCCAAGAATGCAGGACTGGTTGAAGAAGACGAGAGCACACAGCAGTGCCCAACCAGCAGCAAACTGCCAAGGCAGGAGCTAAACTGGAAAAGCTGGCAGCTGAAGGGGGCTGCTGACAGTAGTCAAAGGAGCTGACAGGTGGGGAAGGCCATTTCCCCCTTCAACAGCTGCACAAACCCCAGGTCTCCTCACTTCTTGAGCCATCCCACAGTTATCACCTGGTTCAAGAGTGCAACTGCTATCAGGAGATCCAAGTAGAATCAAAAGGCCAACAACAACAACAAAAAAAACACAACCAAAAAACCAAAACAATCAAACAAACAAAAACAACACAAACAAAAAACTTCTCCCTATAATTTCGAATAGTTAGTCTTCAGATAGAAAAAACCCCCAGCCTGAGCAACACTAGACCATAAATCTGTGGTTCCCTACGACTGTTTCTAGCTCAATCACTGTGACGAACACTGTATCTGCAATTACAGCTGATAACTCTGAGAAATCCTGCACATTCCCTACATAACTTCACACACCTCAGACAAATTCATATTTCTTCTAGGATTACAATCCCAGTTTGAGAATCACTGTTTTAAGGCAAATATTTCAAAATGACAACAGCTTTAACAAGAGATGGAAATGCAGTGATAACTTCTATTCCTGTCAGCAATTCTGCAACTATAATAAAATAGAAATACTTAACATTAAGAAAAGCCCAAGTTTATCTAGGTGCAGCCTTATTTTGACAGGTCTGATACCTATATGCTAGGACTACCTACACATGAATTTGAAAAGCATCTGTTTGATCATTCTCTAGATGTTAACTGAGTAAATGATATTGAAAATGTGTTTGCTGAGTCCTAGTTGGAAACAGAATTTTCTGTCTACAGTTTCCTAGAATGTTGTGTCTCCTACACTCTTCCCTATCCCAGACACTGAATATCTCCATTACACACCTTACAGCTAGGACACTGTTATTTCCGGTTAATTCCCTCTTTAAAGAGTTTGCCACAGAATAAATAACTTCCTTCTGATTTACGAATTCAAGTCAAAGTCTTCAATCACCTTTAGATATGACCAGATTCCAAGCTAGTTTAGAAGAATGGTGTTCTACCCATATCAAGAAGGTAAGACAAATGATTCCTTTGAGAGTACAGTCTACTACGTGCAACACTTTTTAAGAATGAACTCATGATTTAGACCATCCACAATTCAGTTTCCAATCTATCTAGGTGTTAGTGGAACTTAATAGTTTCTTTTTTGTTTGTTTGTCTCACATGTATCAACTGGAAAAACACCAAGAGATAAAAGCCTTCCACATTTTATCAGATACTTGTACAGAGACAAAGACAATTGATCTTTGTTAGGCTGACTCCCATCACTGTGGTATAGACAAGATTGATAGCTTTATGTCACAGCAGACATACAGCTACAAAACCCTTCATTCTATGGGAATAATTAGAGGAATGGAGTATGAGCTACCCAATACATTCACAAGAACTGAAATGAGACATGAAAATAAATTCTTCACAATGAAAGTAGGCAAAAATGGTAACAGACTGCCTAATGAGGCTGTGAAACCTCCACTCTTACAGATTTTCAACTCAACAAGGCCTTGACAAGCCTGTTTTTAGCAGAAAGTTGAACTAAATAACTTCCAGTTTCCTCCTATCTAAACTCTTCCATGGTTCCAATGAATAGACTCCAAAAACTTAGACCATTTCAGGGGGATATTAGGAAGAGAGAAGTGCTGGACTTGATCTATTAAAAACTGCAGAAAATGTCATCCATTATTTTCTTACACAAATAATAATTTCTATAAGTAATTCTTCCCATTGTATGTTCTGCTATACCACAAGCTGTGTTTTTGACCAAATTTGAATTGGAAACGTAACACATACCTTCAGCACACCCCTCTAATCCCTTATTTTCTCTTTTTTATAATTTTAATACAAAGTTCCCAAACCAGTGTTTATCATTTATCCCTAGCCTATTATTCCACTTATTAAAGACTTTCAGAAGCTAGAGCTAGTAATAGCCACAGAATTTTCCTTACCACTTTTCTATGCATGCTGATTCCCAGCTGTTTGCGCTTAGGAGCTTTGTCTGACCCATTCCAAAGCATTTCTGCTAATGGGACTTTTAGTGGGAAGCTATTTCCACCATTTACTACAAGAATTGTTTTCCTCCCCTGACACAATCAAAAATTTTTTCCCAACATACCTTCATTGGCCTCTTCAGTGCCTCCTGAATATCCACGCGCTTCCGCATAATGGTCTGGTCTAGTTTGCGCTCAAAGGCCAAGAGATCCATGTAGGCCTGGGACTCAGGAACCAGCTCCCGGATCTGAGAAGGAAGCAAGGAATATCCAAGCACTGGAAGCACACATCTGCCATGTTCCAGAACAGCAATACTGACACATTCCCAGCCCTTGGACAGAGGTGCCCAGAGGAGCCCTCCCTCCGACAGCAGCTCCCAGAGAGCAGAGCAAGTCTCAGTGGCATGGGACAAAAGCACAGACTCAAAAGTGGGAGCACAGAACTGAGGCCAATGCATTCTGGAAGAGCTCACCTGAATCCACAAGGCCTGAATTATAGCTGTTTTTTTCAAGTGAGGCTTAGCTAGCAGAAGCCAGGGAGCCACTACTCTTGGCAATCCAAACTACAGTGAATTTGTCCAGTTCGAAACTAAGAGTGCTGCATATATCTAGACCAAAAGACAGATTTTAGTCTTAGAACACCCCTAGATGAAAAGAGGGGGGCTGTTCATGTTGATGTTTCCAAAACAAGTGTTAACCACTGTAAGTAAAAACTGCCATGTAGCATGCCTGCCTTTGTCAGCACGTCTTTCTGGCTGAGGTGGAAGTGACCGTCACATCAAAGTTTCAACATCACCAGCTATCAGGTGTCAACTTATGGTCCTGCCAACTTTCATTGGTATTTTAATACATTAGTTAACTATATTAGTTCTATTGACAATCCCTCCTTTTTATTTTCTCTTTTACAAGGAAGTTAGCAGAGGATCAGCTATGAAGTAGGTGGGAAGGAAGACCTAATGAACTGAGCTTAGAAATAGTTAAGTATACTCTCAAATTAAAATGTTGATGCTTAATTTGGAATAACTCATGCAGAAAAACCATTAAAAAAAGGTACTATAAGGTACTAATTAAAATAGATCTATTAGACATTCTATTTCTACAGTGTTCACTCTAGCTTTCACTTATTTAACAAAAATATTTAATTGTTATAACATTTCCATAGGAATTAAAAGGGAGTTGGTATTCGTGCTTTGCTTTAGAATCAGGATTAGTTACAGTTAAAATTATAGTTTACATCTGGTGTAAGACACAAACACCTATGTGAGAGACACCAGGCATGCACCTGTTCCCCATGTCCTGCAAGGACATGAGAACTTTTGTATGAGGTCATGCCAGCAGCTGGCTCTCCTAGTATTGCATCTCAGGTTTCAAGGTTTCAAAGTTGCTGCCTTTTAGTACCCCAAATAGCTCAAGGCAGAGCGTTCCAGAACCTCACCAGGCAATGTGGGAGGAAGAACTTCCTTTAGTTCATTTGGAACCTGCCATGCATGAGTTTTATTTGATGCCATTTCCCTGCACTGCTGGAACAGCAGAGGGCAGGCATTCCCTAGGCATCTTTGCCATACGTTTTACAGGTTTTTGTCATCTCTTTCTTAATAATTTTCTTTTCCAGCCTGAAGAAGAAAATTTCTCCCTGCTGTATTTTTAGACTGACTAAGATTATCAAATAAATGTCTCTTTCAACTTACTCTGTTTGTTTTGAGATGTAGAATACCTGCTTTACTTACAACAAGATTGATACTTTGGAAAAGCAGAAACCACAGAGCAAAAACTCTGTTCAGCTTTAGCCAAACCATTATATTTTTAACTGCTTATATGCTTTCTCAAAATGTTAGTATCAGCAGAATAATAAAGGAAACATGAGCACCAAGAGCAAGCATTACCCTGGAAACATCAAGGAATTGACAGACAGCTTGCAGAGTAAGGGCAGTGAGTGCAAACCTTGGGGCACAACAGAACACCCCAATGTTTGTTTCCTGTTCTGCACAGATGAAAAAAATATTCCTCAGTTCCTTGCCTGAGGGAATTAATCATGGTGTGCTGCAGTCAATTAAAAATTCTGGACCAAAAAAGTCATTTCAGACCTTTAATGCCACGTGCCATCAGAGTCAGTTCGTGAACCCCTGGGGCACATGGTGAAGCAGGGAGAGGCCTACAGAGTCCTTAAGATACAGCCTATACAACACAAGCGATACAACCTTTCCAGCTGGCTCAAAGGGTACTACACCCAGGATCTAACAGAATTTCTAGGAAGTTTACAGAAACAGTAGAAACCTTCAATAAATATTTTTATGCCATACTTTTACATCTTTTATCACATTAAAGTGAAAGGGTTATTTCCTACTCCATTCCTATAACCCAACTGGATGTTAAATATTATATGTTAAAAAGCACAAACAGTTTAAAATCAGCCAAAGACAAAACTGCATCTAACTCCGCAGGCTGAGAGAGCATTTGAGAGAAGAATTGTACTTGCTGTGTTTGTATTCTTCTCTAGGGATGTGTTATGGTCACAGCAAAGATGCGATTTTGGACTAGATCAAAGGCTCACTCAGGCCAGTTTTGGCAGCTCTCACAGTCTTTTGCTTTCTCACCCTACTAATGAAATAATCTTTTGGAGGCATGATAGTGCTTATGTGATAAGGATCTGTGCAGCCTACCTAATTACTTCTCCTCCATGGTTTGCCCTAACTGAAATGTTCACAGCTCCATGCAGGTCTACACTCTTCTACAAAAATTCTAACTATAAATGTGGAAAGAGTATTTCAGTACATAAATTCTCCATTCTGGCCTTTATCTAATTGAAGAAGCTCCAGAGAGGACCTAGCAGAAGCAGCATCTCATCAGCCAAGGTGTTGAAATATATATAGTTACACTTTATCTTAGAATTCCAGGGATGACTGGAAGAGATTACTATTAACATTAGTAAGACAGTGTCTTTCTTGAGACTGCAGTTGTTCATCTATTATGAAAATTCAAACGTTTCAAACTTTTGAAGACTAGTAAGAAGCAATTATTACTAAATTTTGCATTTTTATCCTTGATTCCTGTAAGTTTTTTTATCAATGGTGACAAAAAAATGGCCAACTTGCAAGTGAGGGCAGTGTGGAAGGAATGGCATGATGGGAGAGTCTCTTACAATTTCCTTGTAGAAGCAGTACAATGTGAGGAATCCACTACACCTGCCTGTAAACGGATGTGCAAGGCTTGTGAGACCAGAAACCAAGGAACAGCTGCCACACTACAAATCCTGGGATACAAACATTATTTTTGGATAGATTGGAAGGCAATGACAGCAGTCAGCAGCCTGGGGAAAGCAATGAGGAAGCCTTCTGCAAGAAGTTCAGCAGCAGAAGGAACGCTAAAGAAAAAACCCGGTCTGGTTCTGCCGCTCGTGTCGAAAGCCACAGAGAAGGCTCCCCATTGTCTCTGGCTCCATTGCTCCTGGCTGAGTGCTGTCCTCAGCCTCCCACGGTCCTGAGCTCAAGCCAGCCAGGGCAGCAGGGCTGTGCACAGGGATTCTGACAGGCTGCAGAAACAGGACGGCACTGCAGCACAGGAACAGCTCTGCTCCTGGCATGGAATGACACCGTGCAGGGCAGGGCACAGGTGGGCATCGGTGGGGTAGGAAACAGGTTGGCAGGAGAGGACTTGGGGGCCCCGATGGACAAACAACAAGTGCAGAAGGCAGCTGTGGGGGGTAAGGCAGCCACAGCAAAGCCAGCTGCAAAAGGGACTGTATTAGTGCAGGTACCACCATCAAGGCCAGGAAAGAGGCTCTTCCTTGCTGGGCCACGCTGGTGAAACTGGATCTGGACTGGTGGGCACAGGACCACAGAGATGTGACACTCTGGAGAGAGGCCTGCAGAGAGGCTCGGTAGGATGGGGCCTGGAGCACAGACCTGCCGAGAGAAGCTGCAAGAGCTTCTGCAGCCTGGAGAAGAAAAGGGAAAAGGAGATGGCCTGGGAGAGCACGACGGCCACACGGACTGGTGAAGCACAGACAGGGCCAGCCTCCCCTTGGAGGTGCATGAGATTAGGCTGAGAGGCAACAGAAACTCACTGCACCATGGGTAATTCACTCCCTATAAGGAACTGCTTTGCAGAAAAACCTCTGACAAAACAAACAAAACACATGAGGGTATTAAAACCTTGGAACAGGCCGCCAAAGAATGCTCTGGAGTGTCCATCCTTGGCTGGAGGTATTCAGAACCCGTCTGGACAAGGTCCTGAGCATGCTGATATAATTTGAACCTGTTCTGTATAACAGCTGGCCTGCACAAACGTCACAGGTCCTATTGTTGTGCACCTCCAAGGTCCCAGAAAAAAACCCCAATAAATAAAATTGGATCTATTTCAGGCAGGAACAATTGAAGCTGCATTCTTCAGTGACTAAGCAGGACAAACAAAACAGTTTCGGCAATCTTGATTTTAAAAAAGGCAGTAAAACCCACTAATAAATAGAGATTTGGCAGCTTCTTTAGAATTAGGCTACCCTAGAATTTTCGTCTTTGAGAGAGGTAACAAAATCCAAGATCTCTTGCTCCTCCAAGTCTGACAAGCTTGATCCTTAGCCGTTTTTTCACTGCCTACGGGAGATGGACATAACCCACACATTTCACAGGTATTGTTGAGAACCAGAATTCTTATATGTTAAGTGTCAGTGACTGAAGTCTGACTTGGCAGCTACTGGACAGTTTCCCTACTAGGAAACTTTAGCCTATAGCTTATTGACAAAAGTGTCTCTACCTCTAAGGCTTCTATGGCGGTCAAAGAAATACAGCTAAGGGCTGACACTCCTTATAAATCATAACTGTGCCACCCTGCAACCCCTGAGAGAGAGTGGTTTGAGGAGGATTTTTTATTGACTACCACAGGGCCAGTAACACAGTCCAGTAAATTGGCAAAAGCAGCCCATGTTCTTTTCTCCTCCTCTCTTAGGAGCTGGCTAGACATTGCTGTTGCTAGGTCCTCTCAGAGCCTTCCTTCAGGCTGAACAAGGCCAGTTGTCTCAGTCTTTCCTCATGTGCTGATCCAGTCATTCGATCAACCTGACAATCATCCACTGACCTCAGTCCAGTTTGCCAATATTTTTCTTGAATCCAGGATCCCAAAACTGGACACAGTGCTCTACCATTGAGATAACAAGTACTAAGCAAAGGAGAGTAATCAAGTCCCTCAATCTCTTGGCTGTGCTCCTGGCCACAGAGCTCTGGATGCTGTTAGTCACCTTGCTGACAAGGTACACCTCCTGCTCACTCGCAGCTCACTGTCCACCAGTGGCTGCAGGGCCTTTCCAGCAGTGCTGCTTCCCAGCCAGGCAGCCCTCCTCTTTCCCAAGGAAGAACATTTGACTGAGTTGACTTTCATAAAGTTCTTGTTGGTTCATTCCTCCAATGTGTCCACAAGCATATCAACTGGCTTCTCCACCCAGTGATTGGTGTCATCTGTAGATTTTATAAGCAAGCACTGTGCTGCCTCCTGCACAGAGATGCTGGACTGAACAGCTGCTGTGACCCATCCCTGCAGTACTCTGATTCAGTCAGTATCTTCTTGGCCAAGTGAAACCATTAGCCACCTTCTCAGCCTCATCATCCAAACACATGGCTGTCAGCCCATTCGGATCAAAATGTCCCAACCTGCATACAAGACTATTATGCATGAGAGAGTAGCCTTGAAAGGACATTGGCCATTTCCCTCAGATGCAGCCCATTGGGTATCATGGAGTTGAATGAGTCAAGTTTCCTCAGCTAATCCCTGGTCCTATCTCTGTCCACTGTCAGCTGTTCACTGATCACAGGGCATGGGATGCATCATTAGTGCAGACTGAACAAAGAGGGCTTTGAGTGCTTCAGACTCATTGTCTCTGTCATCACTGGATCACACAGCCCACTCAGCATGGGGCACACATTTTCCTTGGTCAGCCTTTATTACTAGTGCAAGAGCAGAAGCTTTTCTTGTCCTTGATGCCCCTTAAAGATCTCAACTACAGCTGAGCTTTGACTTTGCTGATACCATTTCCTGCATGCCCAGGCAAGGTTTCTTAACTCCTGCTTTATGGCCTGTCCCTGCTTCACTTCTTGTACATTGCCTTTTGATGTTGGGACCACCACTGTGAGTACCCTATTCTGGGCTCCTCATAAATCTGTTCATTTTCCTGCATTTAAAACAGGTTGCTCCTAAGGCTCTTAAAGACCTCCCAGCTTCCCTGAGCCACTTTGCCCTTCAGAGCTGCTTCTCAAGGAATCACACCTACCAGTTCCCTGAATAAGCTAAACTCTGCTTGTCTAAAGTCTAGGGTTTGTACTTGACTACTCTCCTTCCTCATCCTCTGCAAGATCTTGAATTTATTTCACAGCTGCTATATCCAAGGCTACCACTGATTATCACAGCCCTAACCTCTTCTTTCTTACAAGTGAATGGCAGATCCAGGTGTTCCTCACCTCTGGTTGGCTCAGATGGAGAAAGAAGTGGACAACAGCCATGCAGTGACCAAACCACAGCAGGACAGCTATTATGGCATGGGATCTGTGCAGAGAATTCCATATGGTGGTCAGTGAACAGCAGCAGCAAAAATTGACTAAATATTTGCATAAAGGAAAATTAAGTAGAGAAGATGAAAAGGAGAAGACAGGTGTACAAAAACCTGCCAGCATAGCTAAACAAAAAGTCCTCAGGAATCTGAGGCTGGGTGAGAAGAACAGCAGCCAATACTAAGAGACAAGCATGCCACTGAAGGAGGGGCAGTTTGCTGTTTCAAAGTTGCACTCCACTCAGCAAGTTAAACCAGGAAAAGCAGAAACAGGCATAGCTATGGAGCCAGAATGGTTTTCAGCTGAGATTCTTGCATCAGAATGGATAGGCAAGAAAGCCAAAGAAACAGAATGGCAGATCACATTCACTGGGAAAAAATGTAATTACTCAGTACTAAGAGAAAATAAGACTGACCAGAAGTAATGAGGAGGCAAGGCCTGGAGAAAGAGGTACAATTTGAGGTGCAGCCATGTGGTCTGGGTTGAAATTGAGGCACAACTGCTAAACTTGGGTCACAAGGACAACATCAGCTCCAGAGATTTAGGTCCCCAGCTATGAATGAAGATGCCTGTGAACTTCTACAAAACTGAATGAGGGTTTCAGCAACAGCCAAGTGTGAATAAGGGGAAGATCCAGAAGTGAGGAAAATGGAGCAGGAAAGAGCTTGCTGGATAGAACTGGAGTTATGGTTAAATACACTCTAAAAAATACTAAGCCTTGTTATGTTACAGCATGTCAATGTGAACATAACCAAGTCCTTGTGTTCATTAAAATTGCATTTCAGACAAAAGATAGGCAGTCAATACAATCAACTTGCATTTAAGTAAATAATTTGATATACAGTCATAAAGGGAACCACTCCTTAAGACTGAAAAATGGGAGTTGGAACAAGACCCA